TATCTCCTTCCTGGAAAACCTGGTGTTGGCCGCCAAGGTGGAAAGCTCCTCCGGCTTGTGCCTGCCGCCAAGGGCGAGCGTACCAGCGGTGGACCCCCCTAAAACGCCCGCGAGTTCTTCAAGTTCGCCCTCTGTAAGTTTGCCAAGAGGCGCTTCACTCTTAAGACTGTACCACGCGTTCGAGATACTCCCCTCTCACCTTGATCAAACGCTTCTTTCCTTCTACATCAGGCTAAAAAGGGTGGAGAGAGAAAAAAAAAAGAGAGAAACGCCACAAAATCCTCCTCTCTCTCTCTCAGGCTAGACAAGCAGGCAGGAGAGGAGACGGCGTAGAATATCTACTTACGAGAACAGGGTGCATAATACGAGCTTAAGAGAACGCATTGCTACATATGAGGGAGAAGATACGCCGGGTGCCCGTGAAGATAGAGATATTCGATCCTCCAGGCAACCTGCCTAAGCAACTCCCTTCAAGTTTGTTTCTTTTTTTTTCTTTTCTTTTCTTTCGAGGGACTTTCTACGGGAGACAGTGCGAGCATTGCCAAGACGGACAATACCTGGAGATGTATACAGGTGCATAGACTTGCAGGCGGAGAACTCGTGACCGAGAGACAACAGGTGAGAATTAGCCCAGGTAAAACAATTTTATCGAATCTAATATTTTTAGACTGACTAATATTCGAAAATTTCATTCGAAATAATAATCGACGGCTGATTCATGTTTCTTTCTTATCTATTTTTCGAGACTGTCTCGTTTGTCTCGATGGTTTGAAAACGTGTTTTACTTGGGAAGAAGGAAGAGATAGAAATGAAAGTATTACTCGCATCGTTCCATCTTACAGACGATGGAAAAATGCTCGGAGTAAGAAATAGAGAGAAATATATGGGGAGAGAGAAAAAAAGGAGGTCGCTAAAGATCTATTCTTTCAGACCCGAGAAATCGTGAAGTTTGTTCGGATCAATTTTGTTTCGGGCAGCGTGGAGCAATCGCTTTCGTTGAAAGTCATCCACTGAATATCTTAATCGAATTTTTCGTGGGTCACCGTGCATTTTCTCACGCGACACGGCCGTCTAGACGCGTTTCATACTGAAGCAACGGGAGATCGATACTCATTAACGCGAGGAGTCGCTAAATATAATTACCATCGTCGAAATACGATTCAAAACGAAAGCGTGACCCAACACTACGGCGTTAATTACAGATCGAGCTTCTAAGAAAAGAGCAGTTGCAACAAATTCTCTATTAAAAATGCAATCCTAGTCAACGATAAGTCTACCAACATACACTCTACTGAGAGACTGTACACTGCTACCAAGTGATAAGTAAGTACTACGTATTTATACGGAAGTGTCGTATCTACGATGATGATCGCGATGTTGGCACGCGTTCGCCTATTATCGGACACTTGCGAATTCCACAAGTTGCTTCTAATCTCTCGGTTGGATCGATGCGAGGCAGCAAACACCCCTCGTTCTTTCCAAACCTTTTTCACGCTTAGAAAGCTGTTCGAGTCATTCTTTTTTTTTAACCCTTTACACGGTGATGTGACGACACTAGTGATCTTTACTTACGACTTCATTGACGTTCTATCGATGAAACTGAGTTACAGCTAACTAACTAAGAAGAGATGAGATTGATCATAGTGCAAAGGGTTAAACGGAGATGAATTCACTCGTGTCCACCTATCGTGCAATTATCTCTGCCCCTTTACACATGCTTGCCGTTGATACAATTGAAAACGATCAACGTTTCTCTCCAAAGTATCCGCGATCGCGGCAAACTGAAAGCTTCCCCCGAGGGGAAAATGTAAATTCTAAAAAAGAAAAGGGAGATAAAGCAATACGAAGTTATCTCGAAAAATTATCGACTGGAGTTTATACAGAAGCGAAATATCGGCGGCGGGCGGCTTGTTTTGCGACTAAGGTGGAAGCTTTCCATTGATCGTTGCTAAAATTACGATCGCAGAACTGTGTAAGGTAACGAATGAATATTAATCCCGTTAGAGAGATGATGAAAAGACCGAGGAAGCTGTAAAGCCGGGCGATGAATCAATACGATAAAGGAGAGTGTTTTCTATACTACGCGTTATTCTATCCTCGACTAGTATGAGAGGAGTAGTTTGTCAGAAAGAAAAGACAAAGAGAGAAAAGGGTAGAAAAGGAAAGTAAGCAAAGCCTTCAGGTCTGGCGCACGCGTTACAGGTGTCGAAATCGTCTAAAACACGGCCGTGCGCTTTTTTCCCCATTCTCTCAAAGTGGCTTCTATGCATGTACATAGGTACACAGATTATGGACGTGTGCGTCGTTCTGCACTCCGTGTAATTCCACTAGCAGCTCTGGTCCCGGGCATCCGGGGTCACCATAGCAACGGGAGAGCTCCTACTCCGTATCCACCCCACTTTTGCGATTGCACATTTCCTTTCTTTTCTCTTTTTTTTTTTTTCGGAGCATTTGTCAATTAAAAACGCGCCAGATCTGGAGATCTGCTTGCTTGCGTACAAGTAGAAACTGAATAGAGAGACTCGACGTTATATATACACGTAGGTGTGTATAGGTGTGGAGAGAATAGAGTTAGCGTGGTCGCAATGGTCGGTTCCCTAGCGGACCAACTAAAAAAAAAAAGTTATTCCAGAGTGCTATGTTATAACGTATCTCTCAAAAAAGACGAAGATAAAAAGAAGAAGAATAAGAAGAATAAAAAGAAGAAGAAGAAGAAAAGAAGATTGTTAATTCGGGGCAAACAAATAGGAGAATAGTGTTTTTATCATTCGTTTCTTTCTTTTGGTTTGTGTTTTTTTTTTTTTTTTCGTTTGTTCATTCTCTGTCTGAGCGAGTCTCGCACCTTGCCGTTGCATCTTTGGCAGCTGTTAGCACTGACACACCGCAACGAACGATATCGCGATTAAGGGGGAGATTCGTGACTCGGCCTGGGCTGTGTCAATCCCTTCGTCTCAAGGAGGATCTCTTTCCACGGCGTATCGACTGGCCTGCACCGATTTTACCGGAGAGCAAAACTCGAGCGGCACTACAGTCCGCCTGTATGATTCATGGACTTACTTTTCTCGCGGCTCTTACGTGCCTTCATTGGCCGTGATTCACCAACGGTTCACCAAAACTGAACGATCGATCTAGAAGGATCGATCTCTGATCGATCTCTTCAACGAGGAATCCCCTCGATTAACGATTCTATCCAACCTGACACACCGGTAGACTTTCTAGCTCTTCAGCCTCTCTTCAACATTTATTTTCGTCCTCCAAAGATCCCTCTTCTTTCCTCTTTCTTCCTTCCTTACGCTCCTTCCTCGGGGAATCTTCGACACGCAAGTACGCATACACACACGCACACACACCCGAGGCGTATGTTTCGTTCCTTCGTTGGCTTTTCGTTCGGAAACTGATCGGCAAGACGCGTGCACCTCTAATTGACCGATCGATGTGCTACGACGGACTAACGTAAGTCTCAGAGAGCCGCGATACTCGGTATAGATGTGCGCGGCACCCGCGCTCATGCACTGAAACAGCTGCCACGCAAAAGCACCGGGTATACCTGCTTGCGCGCAAGTCCAAACTTGCGTTTCCCTAAATGACTATACAACAAATATTCGACGATCATTCGCGAGTCGTTTATCGGTCCTTATTTTCCATCCACCCTCTTTTTCATCCAGTCGTTATGCCTGCGTACCTCCACGGGTCAATTTGCGTGTTCCCCTTAGCAAAGTAGGATAACAGCGTATCGTCCCAGTTACGCATGCACTTTTCACCTTTTACCATGTCAAACTGGCTAAAATATACCGATGGCATAATTTACACGATGTTCACAGATTAAAGATTAATTTGTCCGGATAACTGGCGTTAAATGGCCAAATTATGTACTTCCATGTACCCTGTAAGAGGATTTCATAAAATGGTCATTTCACTCGGAACAAAAGCCCAACGAAAGCACTCGACAGTTTATCGATAACGAGATGAAAGCAAGCGAGAGTTTGTATACCTACCGGTTTTTCTTCCTTCGCCTATAATAAAAACTTCGAAAAAAAAAAACTGCATTCGTGGTACACCGACTTCTGAACGATTTACTCGCTCGATAAAAATTCTCAATACTTTACCTCTTTGCGGAAAGCAAGCGCTACGAAATATGCACGTCTGACTATAGCAGGCTTTTCTACTTGACACAGGTACTCTACTGAAAGCATCGAGCATACTACTTGTTCCTGTGATAAGAATGATCTTTCCGTTCTCTGATGATAAATATAACGAGTCCGCGTGTCGTTTTAAACGAGAATATTTGACATGCCGCGTGCTTTGGTACTGTGTAATATGACGTAGGATAAACAAGGATCGTGTTGCGATTGAAACCGAGCCAAAAGCACGATCGTAGATGCTGGTCAATTACTGGGTTTATGTTGATCGTTGATAAACACAGAACGGGAAAGTATGTCAAACATTGTCAGTGGACATGCAACAGCAAACATTCAACGTACACTTTAGGTACAGTATGCAATTTAACAAACATCGAAGCATCGTGGATATTTGGAGAACTACCCTATTGAGAGGTAAATGAAGAGAGTAAAATGTGATCGATCGATAAGATCAATTTGTAATCGTAATTTCTAGATGGCAGGATAATAGCTGTAATTATCGGTAACGTTTCTTTTACTGATAAAGCAGGATTGTGTACATAAAAATTGATGCACAAGTTAGGATTCGTATGATTATAGTGGCTGATTTTTATTTTACCGATTTTTTCAAAATAAAATATGATTTTCTAATAATTCCCAGATAAATAAATTTGTCGAAAAATATAAATGAATAAAAATCGAAGATATTTTGAAACGTTTAACGCCAGAAGTGAGAATTGATATTCTTGAAAGAGTAACAGGTTTAATGGAAGAGAGGATGGACTTTCTTGTAAGGCTTATTTTCTATTAAACGAATTATTCAAATTAAAAGAAACCGCGTAATCGGTTAGCAGACGAATTTTTCTATCGGCCATATCCGAAATGTGTTAGAACTGAGGGAAGGATTACGGCTGAGTGGCTTAATATTTGAAAATGAATAGCAACGATTTTTCAAGATTATCATACAAGGAATTACAAGCTTTAGCCCTAAGATACCGGGTACCAGGTAACATAAAGGTAAATAATCTGCCGTCAGAAATTTTTGCGAAAAAATTTTTTCAATTGTTCCTCTCGATTTTTCATTCCGAAAACGACAAGTAAATTGATTTTTAAACGATCGATTACGATTTTCTCGCTGTAGAAGAAGTTACTGATTAAAGTGCTACATGCCGCGAAAGGCGGAAATGAAAACGAGGTTTCAAGGCTGTTGCAAGATCTTAAGCAGAATCGTAAGAGGAAAGTTAGAAAAATCAAAATCGGGAAACTCGGGTTAACCTCCACACCATTACATAGTCCTAATTACGTTATGGCCGATGATTATTATTGCCCACAACAGCAACCACCTTATCAGTGGGTAAGTTGATCTTCATTTGGTTTTGTTATTGCAACGCATGCTTAGGCTTGGAGAAATTGGAGTGTTCCGTTCTAAGATCTCACGTTCGTCTCGAAAATCGATCGATGACATTTAAGGCAGTGTATTGATGTACGATTAAGTGCGAGTTATTTTATAGATCGAACATCAATCGATATTATGGACAATTTTATGTGTAATATTATTACGATAATGTTAATGTTTCTCAACAAATTTTCTTCTTGAATGAAAAACAAATATAGTTGGATATAAACTATTTAAATTAAATATTCAACATATTCCTAGGTTGGTGCAGAAGAAGAAATTGCAAGTAGGGATGATGACAATAGAATTCCTCATTATGAAGAGTTTAAGCAATTCTTACTGAAGAGAATACAAAGGGAATTTCAAACATATGATACTAATAACAATCAAGTACAAGATTCAAACATTGTGGATTTAAGAACAGCAACAGTTTCATCTGATGTGCAAAAAGTTCCTTTGGATGCTACTATTTATGGTAGATCTAATACAATTGCTGTTAATAGTACAGATTCATTTGTATATCAACCAACTGATAATGTGGAATATCAAACATTGGAAGATCCCAATAGTAATGTGCAAGGGTCTATACTTCTGAAGAAAATGTTACAAGCACCAGTTGGAGCAAATTTGGGAGAAATAGCTAGTCCTGTACATGGAAGTTACCGGTATTGGACAATGGAACAGTATCAGCCTAATGATTTATTGGACAATTCTGATACTCTAACTGCTGAATCAGACAATCAAGATAATGAGGAAAACTTGGAAAATAATACAGAGTGTTATGGACTTTTGGGTGCAATAAAGGGAGAGTATTTTTTGAATGAACCAACTTTGGTCAGAAATGTTGATGAAATTGGTCAACAAATATCAAATGTTTTAACCAATGAAAATGTCAATCAGTACTGTTATCCTACCACAAATATTGATATGCATCAAGATTATGAGAATTGGACTGTTACCAATGTTATGGATGCAACAGATAACAACTGTGCAACATCAGATGTCCAATCATCAAAAGTATTTCACACCATGTATTATGATAATATGGGGTCTGATAACTTAAATAAACCAATAAAGGATGAAAGTTTAACATGTCAGTATCGAATAACAGAAAATGTACATCCATATAATTCTAATCAAAATATATTAAATATGAATCCACCAGAAGAAAATCAGTATTATGAAACAAATATTGTTCCTAGTGTGCAGTCTGATTGCACCAATACATATTATTTACAAAATTTAATTAAATCTAGTACAGAAACCAATGAAGTATACTTGCAAAACACACATACTTTTTCAAATGCTAATACAGATCAAGATACATATACAACTAGTGTGTCCCAAACATTTTCTAACAATAATCACTATAACACTGATCTGCCATATGAATACCCTTCTTCACACAATAATCAAGGAAATATCCCATTGAATGAACATTTAAAACCCCATGAACAAACTTGTAACTCTACAGAACAAACTGAATCCAGTGTTCACAAGAATATATCTAACACATCAGAGAAGATACAAACAAATGGTATGTAATTCTTCTGTTTTTTCTTTAATTGAATATAAGAAGAAATATAATACTATATATTTCATATTTTTAGGAATACTAGATCCATTTTTACCAAGAAATGTTCCTAACATTCCTACAGATTCCATTCTGGAGAATATTTTAAATCTCATTAGTACTAAACGTATAGATTTATCGAAATTGGATCAAACTTCTTGTGTATATTGTTATATTGCCCCTATTGTCACTCATACACCAGTATTATCAAATATAACTTGCTCACAAAAAGAAAGGTTTGTTGCAGAATATAGGCAACATTCTTTTTCTCCATATTGGCTGCTCTATAACGATACCACGAGCGGTATGCGAATGGCTAATCTACAAACAAAAGTCGATGAATCTATCGTTGAAGAACCGCGAGTATTACACACACCAATATCGAACAGTAATTCTGATTTAAGAGATTCGATCGAAGAAAGTGACGATTCCATTACTGAAGTATGGACGCACAATTATTCGAATTATGAAACGATAGTCGAAAAAGATGCAAATATGTGCGAAGATTTAAACATTGAAGCCACAGATTGTTTATTTTCAGTGATAAATACCGAACCATTGGTTAGTCAAGTAGATGATCTCTCTAAGAGCCAAATTCAATAAAAGAAATATGTACTACTGGTAGTACATAAAATTGTATGTATCATTGTTGAAGAAGAAGAACTACAAAAACGTTATGTAATTTAGAAGAAAAAAAAATAATTGCGCATTATTTATATATTTAAGATTAAAAACTAAAGTCAAACATGATCAGTAAAAGATTATCCTGTTTAATCTAATTGAAGGAAAGTTATTCATTATGTTATAACGATCATGTCAAACTATTTTTGCAATACTAATAAAAGTGCAATATTGATAACAGTTATTGAAGAAATGCGTCGCCGTCCCATACACGGAAAATAATAGAATTTTTATTTCCTTATGTTGGTACATATGAGAATATAAATTCGGCGAAGAAAATTAAAAAAATTACGATAATTCCAATGATCACAAATTCATATCTATTATAAGTGAACAAAATATGCAATTTTTTTTATAAAAAGGGGACAAAGAAACGAACGAAAACAATATTATTTGACGCCAATCAAATAAACTAATTTCATAAAATGATTTGAAATTAATTACAAACGTAATTCAATATTTTCCTTTCGTTCATTTTCTTCATCTCCGATTAATATGTATATTGTCGTATATTTTACTAAGAAATAAATAGCAAGCATCACAAAAATTAGCATTTACAAAGATATATATATATATGTAAAGCCTTTCACCCACGGTAATATTTCATTAAAAGAAGAAAGTAATTCGTTGCAAATTTTGAACAACATATTTTTGATACACATTACCGTATGTTACTTGTTGCAGTATATATAAATCTTATAATAAAACTTTTACTTACTTGGAGATCCCTCTGTCTGCATCTGCGTTTTCAAATAATTTAACACTTTAACAGGAATTGACTCCTTTCTTCGATTCTTATATACGGCCACGTCGGAATCCACATTTTTTGAAGTGCTTTGCTTCTCGGAAGATCTGCCTGGTGCCATGTGAACGGTATACATTTTTCTGTCTTAAATTCTGCGCCAGCAGTAGTTCAGTCTTCTTAAACAAATCTTCCTTTCTTTTTAAACAGTAGCAAGACAAATTTATT